ATAATAACTACTGTTAGGATGTATAAGTTTTTTAATTGTTTCGCCTTTTTTAATTGTTTCGACGTGGCGCGTAGGTTCAATGCCTGGGCGTCTAATTTTTCCACTTTTTTAAATGGGCACTTTACCGTATTTCTAGGTACAGAGACCATAATTCATTTTTCTTCTGTGCCCTACTATGTATCAACATTTTCTTAATTGTTAACTTTGTGCTCATTGTAACTCATAAACAATATTTTAAAGCAGTGGCCGCTTTTAAAAATGTATTATGTAGTTTTAAATAACAAAAATTTACAATTTAATAACTGATTTTCATCAGGAATATTATGCTCTCTAAATGATAGCAAAACGGAGGAAATTCAGAACAATTTCTCACATCGAGATTGATATAAAAATGAAATATAGGCAATTTCAAGAACAGTAATATTTGGAAGCACATATATTTGTGACCTTTTTCCGTCATGAAGCTGAATAAGAGATACCAACCAGCAAACCTCTTTTACGAGATTTGACAGGTAATCATGACATTATTATGCGTCTTGTTATAACTCAAAGGGCATCATCTTTTTTTATACGAATGTCGTAAACGATTATGAATAAATAGTGTTTGTTGATTTGAAATTAGAAATATATGTAATGTACTCTTGTCGGAAATTGGAGCAGAAAGTAATCATTAATTTTTTAAGAATAAGATTTTGTAGCTTTCGTAGTGCCGCCTTAATCAATTAAACATAGTTAATAAAAAAATAATTTATTACTGTCATCAAACAAATAAACCAGTATTGCAATTTTGTATTTAATTTTCTATTACATCGTAGCAAAGCAAATTACATGATCAGTCCTACAAGCAATGGCATCAGTCCTACAAGCACAGCTAGTGGTAACCAAATCAAATATGTATGTCCAATTCGTTTTAGGTTCACATTGTCGCACATCCACAGCAAACAATTCCAAAATAAAAGGTAATGATACTCGAACTGTATGACCTTTATATTCTCTCAATTAATCTTTCAATTTAAGCGCTACGGTTCGAATTGCGGAATCTCATTGCCGGTCCCCACTTCTAGAATGCGTCTAATCTCCACCAATCCACGCGGCCTGGATTTTCTCTCAAATGCTCTCGCGCGCGTCTCCCGAGGTCAGTCCAAGTGCAAATACTGAGCAGGTCTGCCTTAGACTCGCCCTTTAGAATTCGAAAATCGCTCTGAAATAAACGAATAAAACTTACCAATGTGCGATTTAATAATTTCCTGTATGTTGGAGGCGTCCCCAAAGAAAAACCAAGAACCTTTTATATTTACTTTACCTTTTGCAAACCACGTTCCCTTTCACACAGAACACTTTCGCGTATGAATGACCTCTTTTTTACTACAATTCTACTCAGCAAATCACACAACTCCTTCCACTTGGCCATACAACACAAATACACAAGTCACATCCTATTGCAATCAATCCACTGTTTTGAATCTTTTTAATCAAGACCATTCATCACCACCCATAAAGAAACATTCGAAGACAAAAAACAAAAATCGCAAAGAATCAGAAGAGCGCAAGAATCATAACTGTGACAGAATCTTAGCAAACCACTTTGACAGATAACACGACACACAAAGAAATCAAAATAAAACTGCAAAATTACCGTAGGGTAACTTTCACTTCAACGGACAGACTAGTAATGGCGCACCGGCAAGGATTAGGACGCGAAATGACGCAACGATGAAAGTAACCAATCAAGAAGCATTAAAATTATTTTAGAAGTTTAATTTATATAATGTATTTAGGACGCCCACGCCTTGTTTATTATAACTGTATTATGGTACTACACTTCAGCCTGAAAAAAATAACATAAAGTACATGCTTGCCATATGGCAACATAGATTGGATACCTACAAAAGATTGTCATCGATACAGTAAAGATTCCATTCCCAACCCCGACATTAACAAAAATCATATCTGCGGTATTGTATCGTCATACTTCAAAATTAGTTCACCCAGTTGTAAGTGGGACATGGTCTGGGTGTCCAACACATGTTCGATTCATACATACGATGCGTCTATGAGATAAAGTAGTGCTAAAAAACGCATCACCTTTCTCACAGTTAAATATGCAATATAATCCTAAAAATACCCCACTTGATTTGCAAAAGTCGAACGAGTTATGAAGGTAATGGGATCAGAAACATCATATAATCTACATAAAATATATGGTAACCAGTTTCTACTTATAATTCTTTAAAATGTTTGAGAGCAGATTGGATTAGAAATACAGAATGACCATTTTCTTTAGGTGATGCGTTTTTTGTAACTCTAATGTATTTTTTCGTCAATGGAAAACGTAATATGTTAGGTTACTTATTAATTTTAAGGCTTTAGGAGTATTATATGCAAATTTAATTGTGCGTATAAATGCCTACAGTAGTGCTAAAAATTCCGCATCATCTTTCTCACAGTTGTAATCTGCAATATAATCCTAAAAATACACCACTTGATTTGCAAACGTCGAGCGACTTATGAAGGCAATGGAGTCAGAAACATTATGTAATTCACATAACACATATGATTACCAATTTCTCCTAATAATTGTTTAAAATGTTTGAGAGTAGATTAGATTAGAAAAAAATACCATTTTCTTTATATGATGCGGTGTTTTCAACACTAATGTAAGTGTATTTTTACTTACGGGACCTTACACTATTGATTTTTTAGTTTAAATTTACACATCATCAGCCACAAACGAAGAAACAAAAGATTAAACAACTATGTCACATAATCTGTTTCAATCATAATCCAAAATTAAAATGTGAAAGGGCTTACGCTCGTAAAGCATTTATGAAAAGCTCTCTTTCAGTCAATACCAGGTAAGGTAAACAGCCCAGTCGCATTAACCACAAATTCTCTAGAACTTTAGTTTTGGGGCATTTCCGTACTAATTGTTTGATCTTTTTAACTTATAAAAGCGACTTATAATAAACATAGTTGGCTATGTGCTTTGTTAAAAATACCTTCATATTTTCAACACCAGAGCGCCAATTCATCTCATCGAATAATCGTGGTCTAAAGTTATCTCCACCAAGAAACTCTTGCAACTATATCAGCCGGGTTCACGACATAACTAACTGTTGTGGAATGGTGCTCCAGTAAACGAGTGTCTTTTGAAGTGGGTGTGCATTAATGAATTTAGTTGAATGATTCACCTCTCTTTTTTCTCTTCTAATCAAGCGCAGCAGATCCTACCTCTATTTCCCTACCTCAATCATCAACGTAAGAAGAGGGAAAAGGTGCGAATTGTATGATGCATCTCAACTCTTCATAAGAGAACATCTGTTTCAGCCTATATAAATGTTTGGCCACTGTGTGCAAATGAAGTAATTATGTTACATAAAATTTGCAGTGATTTCATTATATTTAATTACAAATTTTGTTTTTAAATGCACCCCAACTTCAACTGTGTATGATTCCTTTGCCAAATCAGTTTAGCGAGGTTTTGTGTGTAATTTTTGTACCTTTAATGGAAACAAAATTGCCAAGCAGAGCATAATTTTATCAAGATTACCACATCCGGATCTGTAAGGTTGATTTTTCAATAAATAAATAAATAAATATATAAAAATGTTTGATGGGTAAGAATGGGGCTTCGGTTCCTTGGTTGTATTTGGAGTTTGCCATTGGTAGGGTTGACTTGAGGCTAAGTCATCTTTTATACATTCTGCTTTTTGCAAAGAAAAACTATAATATTCATGAAATAACTTGTGTCTATCTGAAAGTAAAGATTTTGCAATCATCCCTTATGTTAAAAGCTTGTTCTTTACCCGAAATCCAAGAAAATATGCAAAAATTGAAATATAATTTTCGGGGTGAAATCGCTAACATCACGGTACGAGTAACATCATTTCATGAATATTCCTCTTTTGACTGTTTTTTTATAAATAAAATACAAATGTTTGTATTAAAAAAATATTTATAAATAACCATCTGATTATAAAAATTCAATTCATACAGAATACGCAAAATACAATACACTTGATAAAGTATACAAAATACAGCAATTTGATACAATATTCATAACGAAATAGATTCGATACAATATACAATTGTTCTGAAAAATATACATAACATAACGTGTTGCGCAACGGACTGTGTAAAATTGTGTAATTTCAACTTTCTTTTCTGGGTGTAATATCAGTCGAATTGTTTGCTGCTTAAATTCCGCCGCCCCTCCTGTAAACGGGGTTATTTCAATGCCCGTCAATATGCAGATATAAATTTAATTTGCTCCCGTCATTTTGTAACATACACTCAATACAACTTGTTTGTTCACCCACAAAATATTAAAAATTCATAATGAGTCGTGGCACGACCGTCTTTTTATATATTTCATCAATTCATATATAATTTTTTAAATGGGTTGAAATCCTAGAATAGTAAGTTTCCGAGAAGGGTTGAAGATTACTTTCGACATTAGGAAGCATATTTGCTTTTATAATCTCCACAGGTAGCTTTTCTAGTCACCACTTTACACTGTTGGTGAAGAATTTATCGCTTCATAACATCATTCTTCGGATAGTTCAGGACATTATCTAGGATGACGACTTAGCCCAAGCCTCCCCTTAAACAACTCACATACAGGTGTTCTTAACTTTAAAATATAAACAAAATTGTTTTCATTACATGCACTTCAAAGTTTCGTTTCCTTGCCAAATTTACTAGGCAAAACGTCATATCCAGAAACAGGAAAATCTGTGTCAAAGCGCACTCGCAACAAGTTCTCAAAGTTGTTCACCACACATTATACATTAATCAATGTACATTACATCTGAATTTAAGTTCTAAAAAAGTAATTAAAATATCGTCACTCAAAAGTCAAATGTTTTCATTTCAATCATTCGTCTGTGTCTCATGACCGAAAATCGCTAACAAAACTGTTTCTCAAAGGTGACAATTTGTTTTGGTCACCTTCTTTCTACGGTTTTGACATTTTGAATTGAATTTATCCGCTATCTCACCATCAGTATTTCACTGTATCGTCGTAATATTGCGATGCCAGCTACGTCAATGTTTTCGTCAACAGCAACTGGAGACGTTAGCCTCCGGGTACGATCCGAGTGGAACCGTCTTCGGTTCACAAAACGTTCAGGCGCGAACGGCCGCTTTATCTGCCGAACAGTAATAATCAAAATATTAGGCTTGCGTTTTCAAAATACGTAAATGAGAAATGTAAAAAGGAAGAAAAACGAAGATTACAACCGTGCACTGACAACTATTTTTGGTATATAAAATATTTTGTTAAAGAACTATCACGTTCGGGTTGCATTGTGGAATTACGTTCAGGTTCGGCAGAAACTATGAAAAATTAGTTTCGCCTATTTCTTCTGAAATTTCCTGATGTACCTGCCGCAGTATGAACAAACGAAGTTGTCTCCGTTAATGTTAAAAAGGCAATTCGACAGAATAATTCATTTGATGCCGTTTTGTCGACTTGGAACTTCGGCAGTGTTCGCTAGTACTTTTGACGTAGTGCGGACGGGCCTGGGCTCGAGTAAAGGCTCCCACAAACCGGCGCGGAATGGCCGCAGCGGAAATTCCGCGTCACGTGTTACCTTATGATCACGTTGAGACCTACGCGGCAGGCCATAGTGGCAGCGTTTAATCCGCGGCGGATTTTATAAAGCAGTCGGGCGCGTTTTCTCCGCTGCCACACGAGTTTCGTGGAAGTCCGCCCGCCTTCGGGAGTCTTCGCTGTCCTATTGGATAAAGCTCCCTTGCCTTTGTTTATCGGATGAGGAAAACTTGTCACCAATCGCTGAGTCGTAATTGACGCTCGGGTGTGAATGGTCCCGCGGATTTCGTCGCCGCGTCTAGCAGGGAGCTTTCCGCCGCACCCGTTGTGGATCTTCCGCACCGGTCTGTGGGAGCCTTTAACATTCGCTCGTGAACGGCCTTGTAGGGCCGGCCGTCCAAACGGTCGAAAACGTATGCCTCTGACCGTACCCCCAAGATTCAAATGCACAATTGTAATGATTATTATAAGAGCGCACTTAATCTAATTTATCTGTAAACCCACTACCTACTATCCTAAAATAAAAAAAAGATATAAAAGCAGTGATCTAATAATGTTTAAATTAGACACGTTCAAAAAGGAAAAATATAAAATTGCAAATGTGTAAATGCAAGATTTCTTACAAAAGTCACAGGTGCAGATATCGATTCAGACTCATTTCCAATTAAAATAGTAAAAATATGAATAACAAACACATGTGGGTATATTAAAAAGATACATCCAGAAAATCCTTTATCAAACGCCGCTTTATAATTATTCATACAATATTAATTGAAACATTTTAAAATATATTTCAAGCTATTATAAAATGGATCATATTTCCAACAATTCAGCTTCCTAATTCTCAAAAGCAATATAATTCTGCTCTTCAACTTATATAATAGATATGAAATGATATGTTGGTCGTTCATTTTGTTAGGAACTTTTAAAAAGACCTACACAGGCACATTCAGAGATGACTGTTGTAACTCAAGTTGGAAGTGCGCTTAAGACAAGTAATGGTTTGAGTGCTTCAAATTCTTCACTCTCTAAGCAGCAGGCATTTAAAACAGGGCATGCACAGATACAAACATTTGTCAGCACATCTCACAACAGCAGACAGATAAAAACACACCCTGGACGTTGCCATATACATTACATCACTAAAACATGACAATTGATCATTGAAACAAAATCTCAAAGCAGTAATTTAAAAATTAACATTTATTGTCTACTATTTTACAAAGAATGTTTTTACAAAGACTGTGAAACGTGAAATTATCACTTAAACATAAAAACTAAGTGCACTGACACAACAAATTAACATTTGTTTTTGCATATTTTCCACGTTTCTTCACAATAAATCAATATATAAATGAAAGAAAATATTTTGTCTCACAGAAAAAATCAACTAAAAGTATTGCTGTTTGCAAACATAAGATGTGGCATTTAAAAGTACAATCTTCTGATTGCTAAAAATACCTAGCCAACTACAAAATATTTATCAAAAACAAAATTCGACACATTTGGAGCACAATAAACAGGTAAAAGGTACATGAAAACAAGAACAAAATTGCCACCCAGGTCCATCAAACTTTAATCTGTATATTCTTGTAATTAATAACATCTAATTTTATATTGAGACCTTATTACTATTCAACTTATGAATTATTCACATCATTGAAACAAAACAGAATCATCACCAGAGCATGTCCAGACACAGCGACAAAACTCATCTATACAAACACACAGTAACAGTGTCTCTTTCTAAGATACAGTGGACACTAAACCTGCACATGTTATCATTTTAGCTGTCCTGATAAACTAGTAAAACCATCCAGTTTCATAGCCTTATTGCCATGTCTGGAGGTGCCCACAGCAAAATCAACATATATTCTCATCCAAAAACTACGTTTACAATTTTTATTTACTTGAAGTTAAGAAACTGCAGTTATTGGGTATCTGCCATACACTGAAAGTATCGAATATAATTATCACATCATTAGTCTGTGCTCACAAATTTGTATTTCGAACCAAACAAATGACGTGTAACCCCAACCATCATTTCCCACCACAAATCACAAACTTTGGGTATTTGCCCCCTGGGATATCTTTATTTCTTTGACCCAGGGGGCTGTGTCGGTTGGCCACGATCTTTTCCGCGTAATTTGACTCCTGAAACAACAGAAATTGTTAATGGCAACACAAATATAAATACTATTATCACAAATTTAAATGACAATATAAAGAACAATGAGAAGGCCTAGATGTAGAAGCTAGAGAGTAACAACATAATATAACTATAGGAATCAGTGCAAGTTTTAAACAGTCACAGTCTGTTTCAAACCAATGGAAATATGGAAGACTACTTAAAGCATAGCAAATGTTATCCATTAATGATATCCACATATTTTGTCACACCTTTTTGACTTGAGCAATTCGAAATCAGCAAAACGAAACATCGAACCCTTTTGTAATTCTTTCATCAATCCCAGACTGTAATTGACCGTTATACAGAACGCATATAATTTGTGGTGGTAGCAGATATCTTGTGGTATCCATAACGTGAGATAGGAAATAATTTTTCACAAAAATCGCAGTTATAATATTTATTATAGCATTCCCAAAGTTAACTTTTGGGAAACACTTTTCCCATCTTCAGTGGGTCAAATACAGCAATTTATGAGATAAAATTGGCAAATAAAATGAAAGAAATAATAAATAAAAGAGCAGTAAGCAATTTTTAATTTTACTTATTATTAATTTAATTTTATTTGTCAATTTTGTCATATTTTTCTGTATTTCTTTCTGTTTCCTTTACGTTAATTTCTCACATTTCCTTCTCGCTAGAGACCCACTGAAGATGGGAAAAGTGTTTTCCGAAAGTTAACCTTGGGAATGTTATAATAGATTGTATAACTGTGATTGTTGAGGACGATTATTTCCTATCTCACAGAAACCATATAGTTATAACGTCTCAATTTTTTGGAAATGGAAACTTTTTAATTGCAGCCTTATCACATACGATGCCTCGTGGCTAGCACTTGGTCAGCGAGCACGCTTTCCACTATGCGGGCCCGGATTCGATTTCCAGTCAGGAAAGATTATAGTGTGAGTTTTACTTGCAATGTCCCAGTATATGTAGCTGTGTGGTGATGAGAAAATTCACTTCTCAAGTGAATGGGGATGTCTACGTGCTAAACACACGTACCCCCTTAACTCATGGCCACGAGGCAGGGTAGGCCGGTAGGCCTGAGCCCGTTTACGGGCTGTCGCGCCACGTACGTACATACATCACATATGATGAACTTTTGGTGCAATGTGTTTGTATTCAGTTCATTTATTCTAAATGAAATAATATTTTCTCTTTTGGTCAATAAATAAAATACACCCGTGCTATTTTTTAAAAAAATTATCATTTTTATTATAACATTCAAAACTGAACTCAATCTGGAAATGCGTAATGACATGAGCTGCACACAAGCACATACTGTCTCAGGGAAAGAGTGCAACATAACATGGAACATCACAAAAACAAACTTCCTGGCTACTCTAACGGGGAACTCCCCCAGGAAAGAGTCACTCTTCCCTAGGCAGTCATGGTAGCATCTGCTAGACAGACAGTGGGTAAGGCCCATATAATCTTAGTTATCACTTGCTTCTTCAAATTGTGTACATATGTGGTTATAACATTATGATTTACGAAATTTATGGACGTACACATCTCTAATCTACATAAACCTTCTATACGAACAAACCGCCTCAAATAAAACGACGTGAGACACAAGTCAAAAAAATACATTAGTATATTTAAAAAAACAAAAGAACAGAGCAAAAGAGCGTTTGTCATCATGTAGAATACATTTAACACTACCCATCGCAAAAGTTTAAAGAAAAAATTTGGAGTCGTTTTTTTTTTTTTTTTTTTTTTTTTTTTTTTTTTTTTTAATATTGCACATAGTAAATATTGGACGCAACATTGCGCGAAAACTAATAAAATTTTCAAAAAATGTGCACGACCTAAATGAAAGAACTAATTATGGGCGAAAAACATTACTTGAAAGAAAAATCTTTGTAGTTGTTGGAAGACGCTGAAAAAAATTCAATCTCTTGCAATTTTCAAAAATTCAGAGTTATCAGCTAAAATTATAGCCTATATCAACTTTATAAATGTATTTATTTCTCTGTTTACAAGAAATTTAACGGAAAAATTTTGAGCCATTTTTGAGAAAATTATGAAAATGTCCTAAGAGCTTCATGTAAAGCACCCACAACAGTTAATGAATGTCTTTTTAAAAATCGCAAGCTTCGACGAAGACCAGATCGACAGGTGTTTATTCAGTGTGGAAAAAAATCGTACGCATAATTTAGGCACTAGTTTCATTGTTCACATACACCGGACAGACGTACGGACGTTTTGAAAAAAAAAGCGGTTTTAGGGGACCCCAAAACGTGTATTACCGTTGAAATCTCGTAATCGATTTTCCGCAGTATTACATAACATTCACTGTACTATGTATATTACTCTGTATATACGTACGTGAAAATAACTAGTGGAGCAACAGAATGGCACAGATCTTCTCGTACTAGTTAGTTTTGTAATTTCGTTGGTCTGGGCAAACTTACATTCTTGTCTCATCCTCTAGCATCCAGCTAGCATCTATCGCGCCCAAAGTGTGTGTGTGTGTATATATATCTTGAAAACTCTTTTTTACAGAAATCTTTAGGCCGTTAATAAAAAACATTTTCAGGAATTTGTAAATTCCTGTAATTCCTGATTCCAATTTAAAAAAAATTATCACCGAAATTGAACTTTTGTCTTGTTAAATATATGCAATTTTCGACAATACAGAGCGTACGTCGAAAATGAGAACAGTGCCATTTTCTTTACCATCTATTACATTCCAGATAAAATTTAAAAAAATATCAGATTCCTTTTTGAGAAAATAGTTATTTAAAAATTACATGTTTTGCGCAAAATTCTGCGAAAACTGCTTAAATTTTCGAAATGCAATATTTTATTCCAGGATGCCTTTGAATAAAAGATTTCATTCCGGAAAAAGTTCCTATTTTCAAATTTTTAGTTCTAGAAAGACGTAAAAAATACACAGTTGCAAATCGCAAAAATTCAGATTTCGACGAAAATGAGAAGTGCTCAATTTTTGAAGCGTTCTTTATGCTACCCAAGAACAATTTTAATTTAAGAAACTGGAGAAATTTTTGCGAAAAATTTGGAAAATGTTGAGGAATTACACCTAAATCAAAATATCAATTTCAAACACACACGGTCTCGAGATCGTCGAGATATATCGGGGAATAATAGTGTGAAGAAAATCGTTTGAATAGTTTAAGCGCTAGCGTTGACCACAGAGAGACGGACAAACGGGCAGATGGAGAGACAGACGTTTTAACGCCAATCGATTTTTCGGTATCAAGAACCCAGAAAACTTGGATTCTGTCTACACAATTTTCTATATGCTACATTAAATAACATACACTTCCCACTTAAAGTCCTGGTAACTGGGTAATTCCTAGGTATTTTACGATCCCCTGGGTTCCCTAGACTTCCCACGGGACATTGAAGTTTCTTTTCTGCCTTTACTACCAGCAATGCTAAATTGCTCCGTCGTAATTTACAAATTGTGAGTAAAATTTAGTACAGGTTCTGAGAGCAATTAACGAGATAGTAGATCGCCTCGAGACGTAATCCCCAGGGTCTTGAGGGCACTGACTGTGCATCTTGGCTTAGCCCCAGAGGTTCCAACCACTACTGGCAGGAATCTGGCGTTGGGTACTCCATGACGTTGGGCTGCCAGGGGGATGACTGGTTGGTATCCCATATTTTCCTCCTCTGCTTTCAGAAGGCTAGACCCATCCTCGTGGCGGACAGTCACATTGACCACGTGGACCGCTTCCCGGCTTTTTATTACCAGGTCATGATTGAGTCTAGCCCCTTCGGCAACGGAGAAAGTGGCTTCCGTGGACACCACGGTGTCCGATTTCCGGAGCATCTTCCCTTGTTTGAAGATCTTGATCTCGTGTTGACGCTTTATTCTTGCTGGCTTCGTAAAACTGCACTGACCGAGGATGTGATTCATGTACTTCCAGCAGTATACATTCTCTCTGGGCCTTCCTCTACTACGAGTAGTTTTATTGGCAGCGGTATTTGATCTCAATTGGAGTGCAGTGATAAAAATACCACGTTTCAGAAGATGATAATCTTTCAATACGGCATTTCCAATCGGATCGTTCATATGCGCCCTAACCGCTCTCCCTTGGGATTCCAGCTTCTCACAGGCGGCTACCTCGTCATCGGCGCATTTCTCCTTGCAAGCCCTTAAATCTTTTTCAGAATAGGGCCAGTTGAGTCTCAGTGATTTTGCGGTCTTTACTGTCCGTTGGTAAAATCTCAGACAGGGGCTCAACCAGGCCAATAGGAATCTGCAATGTTTTCTAATGTAATTCTAGGTTCAGGTGCAACTTCTACAAACGTGTTGGACGAGCCCAGCAATCCCAGTCCTCATCTCTCTTGGCCAGGTAGAATAGTACATCTGCGGTACTCATTTGCAGATGTAGAAACTGTTTGACTGCCACTCCATTTGACCGTTCCGCTTCCTGCCAGCATCGATATGATGGCATGATAGAACCAATTGATAAAATAATCGTGGCATTATGTAGATATGAAGTAAACGCCAATCCTGAGTGGCTTTAATGCGCCTTTTGAAGCCTCGACACTACTTCCATTAATTCGATATTGATGCTTTAGATGGAAGCCGTTCCGTATAGAGTAGTTCCACTCCCAGGTATGTAAGAGTTTGATCATTGCTGACAAGGGGAATTATCTCCCCAACCTTTCCAAGCAGGGGTTCCTCAATGAAGCAGGATCGTTGAAAAGTTGTAATTTGAAATGATGAACATTTCGCGATGACAATGTCATCCGGGAGTCAATTTTGGGAAAATGTTCAAAATGTTGACGTTTTCATATAAATAACCCCAAAATCAAAACATTTTTCAAACAAGTAAGGTCTCGACGTTGTTAGAGAAGTAATATTCTTACATATCAGTCAAGATTTATCCAGTTTTTCGAATACCAGGGCCCACAACGAGTTTCTTGTTCGTGAAAAACAGACAATTTCTATAGAAGAATTACAATACTTTGTCTGTACGACGAATAC